ATCCGCCACTGGTTGATGAGCCTTCTCTAAAATGTTATTTTTAATGGCCCCCCTCGGATCATTCGCATAATTTCCGACGAATAAAGCCTACGCGAGCCTTATTGTGAACGTTTTTCTAGTTCAATCGCATGATGTCTCCATATCCAATAGAGATAGGTTCATCAGCCCAGGAGGTAGGCAACACACTGGCTCGCCGAACATCGATGCGTTTGTGTTGCCGCACACGCGTTATGACTCAGAGAATTGTTACACACAATAAAATAATAGTATTTTTTTTACAGAAACACGATAGAGGTTTAGTCGCACACGCTGTTGTAGAAAATTGACCATTTCAGTCTTTTCATTAGATGAAACAGAAAGTGTGATTAATCCGGGTCTCACATCATGGAATTTGCTTGAGGGCAAGTAATGTTAAATTAACACATTCATTGTGGAGCGAAAAAGGTGAACCATCCTTCAATCAGGGATTTTACAATTAAATGATAATTTACAATTTTTTTCACACACCCAAGGATGGTATAGAGGCGAAGCAGCGAAGCACATGTTTCACATTTTCAAACCGATTTTTTAGACTCCTTCAACGCAACCCGAACTTTTTCTGCGTTTAGGTTGTCGGCCAGCGGTATCGCGTTGATGTAATTGTCATACTGGTTCCACCACGACAAATCCTGTCATTCCCGTGACCTGAGATTACTGGACGGCGAAACTTGTCTGTCCAGAGCATTCCGCCGGGGGGGAAGGCGGACCTCTGCCGAGCCGGGAGGCTGGAGGCTCGCTGCTTCCGGCCGGCGACAATGCGGTTTTTGCTTTTGTTTTCTTCCCCCATCATCTGGATCTGCTCCGCCCCCTGCCGAGCGGCGGCCCGTGCTGTCACCCCACGGGCTGGGATGGCACCTGGGGGGCCGCGCCGGCCCGGGGAGGTGCGGAGGACCCCGGCCTGACCTTGAACGCGGTCCCCTTATAAGGCTAGTGGGGGCCACAGATCGGCCAGTGTCTTCTCCACTCCTGTCCAGTCCAGACCTACCTCAGGACAACATGCAGGTCTTCGCGGTGAGTTCTCCTGCTTTGCCTAACATCCGAGTGACAATCGTGCGGTAAAGAAAACAAAATCGGTAATTTCATCGATACAATTATAATCGGTAACGTAGGCCAGACCGTGGTGTTAAAGTGTGAAATCAAGTACTAACTGTATCAAAGACGGTAAATATGAACTTTACAAAATATTAGAAATTTACATAGTTTTTAAAAACAATGTTGCATTTTACTA